TCAAATATTAAAGAGCTTTAAAGGACTTCTAAGGAAACTCAGCTTTAAGGGAACTCAGCTGCTAAGGACTGTTTATAGACGATTAGAAGCATGTTTTGGCTGAATCAACTTAATTTTTCCCAGAGTTTCATATAGGGTTATATCTAAGGTACAATAATCTTGGGATATGTCTAGGAATAAGTTTAGAGAATTTATCCAACCTTTTTTCTATAAAGGATAAGACTCTCATGGTGTTTTTAGGAATGGGCATTTGTCCAGTCCATTGCCTAAGGATGTATCTAAGTATGTGAGCTTGTGAATCTTCTACGTAATCTTCTCAAGGGTCTGACTGTGTTAGTTTCAATTATTTGTCTGGATATGTCTCGTAAATTTAACATTACTCAAACCTTAGAACTTCCAAAATATGAATAATATAAAGAATACAATCAGATTATAAATTTGAAAGTACTTGGCGTTGGCTTCAAGCATAGCCTAGCAAATGTCTTTAATCCTGTTTGGCTTAGTATAAAATGAGTTCTAGATGATAAATAGTTTAATATTAACTGCGTCTGTAATTGCAGCTTGACGACGTTTACAATGTTAATGAAGCTGAACAAAACTAGAGTCAGCGAAGGAGAGAGAGAGAGAGAGAAAGTGAGAGAGAGGGGGAGAGACGAAGCTGTGGCTTTTAGTGTGGAAAATCAAAGCCCAAACACTTAGCTAAAGCAAAGCAAATAGCTGCTAACCGCAAATGCCACAGACTAACCTACCAACACCCCATTGCATACCCACACAACATTAACCCTACCGCTCTCTCCCCCACCCATCACTCCCCCCCCCCCCCCCCCTCGCCGCGCATTTAAGCCAACTGCGAGCACCTTTCACAGTGTCTTTGACCGCCACCGCAAACACATAAATTTTTAGCAATTACGAAAATGCAAAGTGTTTTCCAGCACAGTTGTGTGTGTGCGTGTGTGTGTGTGTGTGTGCTAGACACGGCTACACCAACACACACACAAATATAAACACTCTTGAAATAAATACAAATAAAATATAGCATTTTCTCTTGACTCAACTTTAAGCCACTTTCGACCTTGGTATCCCCACTGCTCTTGGCCAACCCCCCATATACCTGACTCTACATCATCTTGACCATAATTGAGTGCACATTTTGGCCGCTTGGCTATTTCCTAATTGCATGTGGGCCTTATCACATATTTGCCGTGCCACCGCCTCAATTTGTGGCATGCCGCGGCGTCAGTTTAAAATGCGTACCCAATCCCCAACCGTCAACCCCAACCCTCAATCCCAACCCCAACCCCAGTCCCGTCGCACCACAAGTCAAATTCAAATGCAGCGCGCTGCGGCTGTCGATAATGTTTGGCCGCGTTTCGAATTCCCAGCAACTTTGGCATTGCAATTCTCAATCAGTTCAGGCGAGCGATTAAACGACATGAACTGTAACTGTAACGGGATTTGCATAGGCGCGCGTAGAATCAGAAAGGAAATGAATGCCATTCAAAAGCTGATTGCTTTACATTTCTTCATATTAACGAATAATAATAAGATGAATAATAATTACGATAATACTAATAATACAAATAATAATAATAATAATGATTATAATAATGATAGTAATAATAACAATAATAATAATAATAATAATAATAATGATAATAAAAATAATAATAATAATAATAATAATAATAATAATAATAATAATAATAATAATAATAATAATAATAATAATAATAATAATAATAATAATAATAATAATAATAATAATAATATTAATAAGAATAATAATAATAATAATAATAATAATAATAATAATAATAATAATAATAATATTAATAAGAATAACAATAATAATAATAATAATAATAATAATAATAATAATAATAATAATATTAATAAGAATAATAATAATATTAATAATAATAATAATAATAATAATAATAATAATAATAATAATAATAATAATAATAATAATAATAAAATTAATAGTAATAATAATATTAATAAGAATAATAATAATAATAATGAAATATCAATCTAACTGTGACCAGACCACGCCCAATGTGGGCCACACGTTGCTATAATTTCATGTGGCGCCGTGACACCAAAACTTTGCGACACACACACTCACACACACACGAACACACATACTTGGACACTTAAGCATTTGTTCGTGTGGCACGTAAAGGGCCTTAAAATGAAGGTGTGCATAACTAAATAAATTCTATCAACAACAACCGCTGTGTGAGTGTGGGGACAGGGTTGCGGAGCAGGGGTAGTGACAGGGGCAACTTGTCCTACATGTGAAGCAAACGATGTTGGACAACTCGGGCCTAGACCAGACTTCTATATACGTAATGTCCCCCTTTGATGCCGAGAAAGTCGCAGTTGCATAAATGTGGGCGCTGTGTATTGAAGTGTGTGTGTGTGTGTGTGTGCCGCAATCCACTTGAAGCGAAAGATGAAAAATAATAAAAAAAATATAAAAAAATTGTGTTAAGCGTTGATTCTTTTGTTCTTGGCATTTCCTCGAGTCGAGTCTGGCTCTGTCGCCGCTTTGTTGGCGAGTCCTTTGAAGGGTCGGCTGGGTGAGCGGCAGGGGGGGGTGGAGGCGTAGGGCATAAAAGGCTTTCATTTTGGCGCCTTTTGCTTTACTGTCTGCACGGCATGCACGTCTCTAAGACACGACAACACCAAGCACACACACACACACCTACACACACACACGCAGACACGCCCCGCTTTATCCGCCCCCGCTGCGCATGGATGGAAATTTGTGCTACTTTGTCTTTTGTATGTTCACTTTTGGGCTGCTGTTCGGCAACAAAAGCCGCGCTGCAAAAATAAAGCTGTAGACAAGAAAATAATAAAATACAAAGCGTAGAATTTATAAAAAGCAGCTTTCTTCTTTTTTTTTATAGCAGCCAAGAATTAATACCCTTGCTGGCATCTTAATTGAATTACCAGCTGCAGGATATTGTTAACCGATCATAACTCGAATACGTTTACAAAGTAAAATTTAATTAACTTTAGCTTAAAGGCAAACAATTGTCTTGCAATTCCTACACAAACTCAATTTAAGGTTTTTTCTTTGTACCAAGACCTAATACCTGAGCTGAACTACAAAGCTATAAGCTACATACATATATTTGGCTTGTGCGCTCATTCATATATTTCAAAAACATTTTGAAGTTCCATTCCAAAATCCTAACAAGCCTCTGTAAGGGTATAGAATAATAAAAGAACGTACGGAGCCTAAAAATATTTCGACACAAACTTTGCTTCTTGGCAACGTTGTCGCTCGCTGTCGCTGGTTGCTACTGACACATAAAATAAAGAAAAAATAAAAATAAAACAATAATAAAAATAATAATAATAAAAACAATACTGGGAGAAGTACTTAATGAAACAAAGACGCGTCGTAGGCGGCGGCCTTAGCCGGAGCCTTTGCATATGCAAAGGACTTTATTGTCTGCTGCCGCTGTTTCTAGCTGCTGCCGACTGCGCTGCTGTTACTGCTGCTGCTGCTGCTTCTTCCCCATTCAGTGTTGGCAAACGACGCTGAAAGTGTCGTGCAGTGCAACGTCAGAGGCAACCGCAGCAGCGCTGAAAATATGCAAATTGCATGAATCTGTTTTTGCTGTTGCCACGTTTTCATTTTCGTTTTTAGTGCGCCACACCTACAGCTCCGCTGTAGTGCACCAACCCGCCGCCCCCTCCCCCCACCTCCTCCACACTGGCACCCTCCGACGGCATTGCCGTTGCACTTTGAGCAACGGTAGTTCACAGGGGTTTCTAATGGCAGCCAACGAATTTTGTGCGCGATACCAATTGAATAAGCTTTGAAGCATAACGACAAACGGCAAATACGTAACGCTACGTAAAGTTAATTACGTTAAGGAAGTCAGCACTTTAAGCATTTCGTTACGCGATTTTTCGCGTTTAACGAGCATCAACTAAAGATAATGGCAAATATTTGCTATCACTTTCAACCTACTAACCTGTCAAATTCATGATCTATTTAATGCATTGAATTGACCATATTATGTTCTTTGCTAATCAAATAAGAATTTATTACGTGAATAAATGTCGCAACAATTACAGTTTACCTCGTTAGATAACATAATTACTATTTATTGTTTTTATTACACAATGATTGTTATCTAGGAGTCTTTTACTAATTGAATTAAAGCTTGCATCACGTTGAGCTGCTTATTACGTCGCGTATTTTGTTACGTCACAGAAGGCTTAATGTTTGACCTGCTTAACACATTGGCTTACAGTCTAGTAGTAGTAGCTGGCAGGCATTTTACTAATTACGTATGACCTAAGTGCATTACGTGTTGACGTAAGATTTCAACTTATTTTCCTATGATATAAGTTGCGTTAAGATGTCTATAATGAACTTTTGACATTAAAGCCCCTTTGGTGTCAATTTCCTTGCCTGAAAGTGGGATTGGGTTACGTAACATTTACAATTACTTTATTATTACCGATTTTCAGTGTTGTTTAACAGCTTCAGTCAAAACAAATCTTAACTAATTGTTGCCCTATCCAAGTGCTACGTTTTCAGCTGGCCATTAAGCTAAACCAAAATTACCCAGACTTAGGTCAGCTCTCCGTCAACCTTACCCCGTCCCATAATTCCGAGTGATATATACACCAAATATACATATATAAATATATATAAAGAACGCCAGCGTCAGGCCAGGCAAGAATGGCAGCTCGGCCAAGCTATTAGCATAGTTCTTTTACACTTTTGCCCTTTGTTTTGTCATCGAGCTGTTTGCCTTGTCCCGCCCGCCCCCCGCTGTCCAAATGCCCCGACTCTGCCACAGCCGCACCCCCTCCCCCTCCCCCTCCCCTTGCAACAAATGCAATGAAAGGCAAAAGCCAAAGACGTCTATCGCCAGATTTTGTGCTCCCTGCTGCGGCAACTTGTTATGCAAAATCTGCATAATACATTATGCAATTATGAACGTGACAAACGTCTCCTACTTCAGCTCTACGAGCTGGCCTCGGGATTTGAACTGGCCGCCAGTTCGTGGACAATGCGGCGTATACGTAATCAGTTGGCGTAACGCATTCGCATTTGCGAATTATAGATAATTATTTTTTGTTGCAATATCAAATGTTTGATTTACTTATTAATGCTCTTTAATTTTTGTATTCCGGTTTTCCATGTATTATTTAAGTCTTGAGTTGTTTGACTAGCTGCAAATTTGTTCGCGATTATCGCGCAGAGCTAAGAATATAAATCGACTTGTGTTTATATCCTCTGTATCTTTTAATTAACAATCCTTGACTTAGTTTTGTTTTTCTGGGTACCTTTTTTCATTCTAGACTTTAAGAGCTGGAGACTTGAAATTTGTATTACAAGTAGTATATATTCTGATTATCATTTTTATTCTACATACTTCCCCATTTTCGTAATATCCGTGAATATCGATTTAATGTCATTGTGATTCAATCACAAAAATTTTAAAAATAACAAATAAATGAATAGAAATAAAAATACCCTGCATAAATTAGTATTCATTGATATCACAGGATCTGTTTAACCAAATTTAATATAATTTTGTTCTAGCTTACGCTAGATATTGTCCTTTAAGTAAACTTCTTATTGAGTTCGATTGATTATTTGTAATATCTGTTGATATTTCAGCAAACCCAAGATATCTTAGAACTGAAATTTTGTATATATTGACAGTAATTATATATATTCTACAACATTTCCGAATGAAAGTTTCCAAAGAATCGGTAGTTGGCAAAAGCTCTTTAATCTGTTTATAAAAGTTAAATAGTTAGAACTCCTCTCAAGCTAATTACAGGGTAACTCGTTGTTGAGTTAATTGAGCTGTTTGCCATTGCTTGACAATATTGTTGCTGCAGTTAATATCATTTGCAAATGTTTACAACACTGGCAGCATTTAGGTGCGCATTTCACAAATTATTTCACACCATTTGACTTGTTTAGTTTCAGTTTTGGGGCCGTTGAAATGCACTCAATTAATTATAATTTATGTATGTGTGCCAGACCATAAAGCAGGCACACAAACACACAAGCACACACACTCACACACACACACACTCACACACGCACACTTTAGTGAGCTCTTTATTGGCATATGTCAACCGGTAATTATGATTACCCAACACTCACACACACACACATCCATGTTTATTTCCTGAATTTCTTGACTCCGTGCATTTTGTATTGAACCAGGCTTAAATGCCAGAAATGCCAGCCGCTTTTCGGTGTTCCTTGACTTTTGCATTCAGACCATTAATTAAATTATGATTATAACATAGCCTGTATTTCATACTTAGCACGAAGTACATACCCTTTCGTATAACTTTACGTAATAAATAAAAAAAAAAATATTGCTTAATATAAACTTATCCTTTAATCAAATCAGTTCCTTAAAAATCAGCCGAAATCTATAAAAATATTTAAAGCCTTCAATCATTCCATTTATATACAAATATTTGGTAATTTGATAAATAAATAACAAACCCAGGTTTGAACTGTGAACGAACTAGTGCACGAGCCGAACGAAAAGGCAGCGAGCTGGTTCCAATCGTGAACCGAACCATTGATCTCTTTTGTGGTTTTGCAACACTTTTAGAAGTGTTAAACAGAGCGAGAACATTTCAATTTTTGGGAAAAATGCAGCGACAAAAACAAATAAGTAACTGTATATACCATTCTGGAAGCAACATGTCTAATTTGGTGACTCTAACCTAAGAGATTTGCTCAAGAAACAGGATTTCGATTTTTATCGATAGCTTGAACACGGGGCAAGTTATCGACTATCAAAAAAAAAACTCGAACTGCGCGGGCACTAGGAGGAACTACGTTTTAATAACGGTTCTATGAATATGGATCTATCAATTATGTATTTTTATATAATTCATCTATTAAATCATAATAACGTTTTAACGATTATGTTTGTAGCTCTCATCATATCACGTAGTCGAGCTGCAATGGAAATCGTATATTCGAAAATATTGATTTGATCTCCTTAGTAGAATCTTTCTTTTGGCCAACAGAACTGCGCATTGTTGTAAGTTTGCCTTTTGTTTGTTTTCAATCAATTTATTTACTTTGACGCTGGGCAAACAATAACAGAAAGGTGCCCGAGGGTGTTAAATTACAAGTGTTGTTTAAGCCCTTCCGACCGCCGCACCGAGCACTTTTTGACAAACAAAGGGGCAAAAAGCGACTCTAAAATTTATAAACGCTGCATTTTAAATTGATTGCGTTACTAATTTATGCATTTAAATTTGCTAATTAATGCAACATTTACACAAGACACACGCACGCACACACTTGCACATTGCGCTGGGCACAAAGACCGCGCGTCGGATTTATAATTAGCGGTCAGATTTACGGTTTTTATGCGTTTGTCAACACTGGCCAGGCCAGGCCAGACCAGGCCTGCCCCGGCTCGGCTTTAAAGCTCTGCATGGGCGTACCGGCCACGCCCATACACGCATCTACAAATGACCAACAGCCGTTCACAAAGGGCAGTTAATTTTAATGCGAACAGTGCAAAAAGCATGCCCCTCTCTCCCCCCCGCCCCCCTCAAGACCCATGCCTAAGCACAGCTCAGCCCCTCTTAACCGCGCCACTGGCTCACAATTTCAGCAACTAACGCGCTGGCTACAGCTTTCGCTCTCTCTCTCTCTCTCTCTTCCTCTCCCTGCTGCTGTTGCTTCTTGCTGATGTGCGTGTGTGTGTGTGTGTGTGTGTGGGCTTAATGAGCCGTTATTTATTAGCTTGCCGTTTTAATTTATGTGTGCAACAAATTAGAAGGCCCAGTCTGAAAGCGCTTAAACTATTTGTTATTTTAAATTGAAAGCGTTACGCCCACCAGCCCTACCTCCCCCCCCCCCCCTGCCTCGCTCACCAGCTTAACACTGACCCCCCGCACTTTTAAGCTGCCTCCAGAACAACAGCAACAAATTTGCTGCTGCTAATCATTAAACATTTGCCCGAGTATGTGTGTGTGTATGTGAGTATGTGCTTGTGTTTCAGCCGGAGTTTTGTTCAGTGTTAAAGTGAAATTTATTATCTAAATAAATTAAATTTTGACGTTTAAAAGAGAAGGAGTTGGAACAAAAACAACCTGCATAAATTGTAAATTTAAAAATTCGGAATACTTTAACCTATTTATGGGTTATTTTGGGAAACTTTTATGAAGAAAAATATGAAGATGCTGAAAAACTGCAATTAAAAAAGTACTTAAGTAAATCTAGATTAATTGTGTATATAATAAATTTTAAAGAAGAAATATTGTCACTTTGGGAAACATTCACGAAATTCGGAATATTATTTTCGGATTGGAAATATAGTATAAGTAGAATTGCCAAAATTCTGCAATTAAAAATACCAAAAGATATCTTAAAGAAAATTTTGCACTAATAAATTTAAAAAAAAAAATACGCCCTGTTAATGGGGCATTTTAATTGGAAAAAATATAAAAATGCTTAAATACTAAAAAAAACCAAAAAAAAAAAGTATAAATTTCGAATATATAAAAACTTTAAAATATAATACTATCACCTATTTGAACTTTAGAAGCGATTTCTTGTGCAAATAAAATGTAAAAAATTATAATATTTGTAGCGAAAAAAAAGACTTTTTATGATTAAGCTAACAAAAATATTTGTTAAAAAAAAATTAAAGTGACAAAATATGGCAACACGGGAATGTAAGGAAGCCTTTTTAAATTGAATACCCAAAACCTGACACACATCGAAGCTGGAAAACTGTGCTGCAAGCAATGCAAATAGCGCGCCGTAACAATATTTCAAAAACCCATTTAAACGTACCAGGCAAAGGTAGCCGATCGCAAGATACCCTTGACTTCTTATGCCCGCCGGAAGATACAAAAGCGTAAGGTAGGCGATATTGCCAACAATAAGGTATGCTAAATGGAAAAAGTATTTGCATTTCTGCAAACTTGAAAAAACTTACAGGGTATTAAAAGTCGACAGACAGTTACGGTTTGTGCATATAAGATCTAACTCGGGGAATAACCTAAGCCAAACCCAAACGACGCTTGCGAGACTGTCGACTGTTACATTTGATGTAGTTACTTGAATATACCCCATTTTAGTTGGTTGAAGCGTACAGGGTATTCAACTGGCAGCAGTAGATGCAAAGCCAAATGCAGCTGAATGAGTGGCAGACACGCCCACTGCCAGCCAGCCTGAATGGCTGACAAGTTGTCTGGCACTAGACAAGACCCACACACACATGATTGTGTGTGTGTGTGTGTGCCTGTGTGGCTTGGCGTTTATCTGCGCGTAATGAAGACGTTGCAACTTTTGCAGTGCAACTAATTTTGAAAACCGACTCGTTTATATGAAGCACACATGTGTGTTCTGTGTGCGTGCGTGTGTGTGTGTGTGTGTATGTGCGTGTGTGTGTATGGCAGTCTTTGCTGTGCATGTGTGTTAGTGGGGCGCGGCAGCACAACACATAAATTAAAATGTTAGCTAAAAGTTTTGCCGCTAAAATGGCGCAAAGCAAAAGCACTCAGCGAATGTGTGTGTGTGCGCGTGTGTGTGTGAGAGAGAGAGAGAGAGTCCTGCAGTGTAAATGACACTTAACACAATTAAATAAACATTTAAAGTTGCACGCACACACACACACGCACACACACTTGCCTAACAAAATGACTTAAGTGCTGTGCGCGCAATTACACTCGAACACACACACACACACACACGCACACACACTAACATGCTCAATGTCTACCTTACTGGTTATTTGCTCCAGCTCGCTGTCTCTCCACCTCCCTCTCCCTCTCTCCTCCTATCTGTCGTTTTTTTTACTTCATTCCTCCTCCCACCCTTTCGCCCTGGCTGCTGCATATTAAATTAATGGCATGCCAAAAAGTATGCTACAAAATAAGCGCATAGCCCAAAAAGTGCTGACTGCCACAAAGCGCCAGCTACACACACACACACACACACGCACATGGACAAAAACTGCAGAACAACAACAACAACAACAAGATGCACTCGCTCGCACACACACACGCTCGCACACTCGCAATTGCAATGTGT